TTGAAAACTGTTTGGAGTAGACCCCTCGAATAAATAGATGTCACAAGTGGAACTTTTAACTTTAGGCCTTCTAAAGAAAACAAATACTCACTGTGTTTGGAACAGGAAACTGAAGGCATCAGGTGTATATCATAGTGCAAGTTACAAGGTAAAGAAAACAAATACTGAGCAAGTGTTTGTCAATAGAACTGCATAAAGGATGTTAAAAATGCGGATGGGAAGAATTATCTTAGTTTGACTTTTCACATCTTGCTTTTTTGGGGGAACAAAAGTTTTGATGATAAGTACAGGATGCTACCCTACTAAAGATCTGAAAGGGAAGGTTTATTTTGCTAGATATCATGTCATCCAATTAAGATATGATAACTTTTAACCATGGGAGTAATATGACCCATTACCACCTCAAATACTGAAAATGCACAGACTGTATTACATGACAATAATTTTCCTTGTTTAAACAGCCCCTGGTGTGTACTCACAACCAGATATTGTTGCCCCAGTATGTGACTTAGTCCCACTACTTGCAATTGTTTAGAGAGATTCTACCTTTTGCTTGATTTGCTTCTGATGAAATACAATGCAAGGGACCATTCTGCTTGCCTTCAGAATAGTTGTAGCCAGAATTAAAATCAGACGAAAGAAAAAACAGTACTAAAATGATATTGTGATATCAACTAGTTCATCCCTCCAAAGCAGGATCAATGGTACCTTAAACCATTCCTGACAGAGGGGAACTTATCTTTCCCAGTGGTTCTTTCAACACCAAACACACGGATTCTGGTTTTGGCTAGAGTAATGCAGCATCCTTTCTGCTTTCCCACATAGCAGCAGGACTTTGACTTTCTCTTCCTTGAAAAATGGAGTTGTCAGCAGAGGATGATTGTTTATGATGGGTTGTACAGGTAGTAACATCAGATAGCTTCCAGGCTAGCATACTGCTTGAACTATACAAACATCAATAAGACGCAACAAAAATGAAAAGTATGTCTGGAAGTTTCCTTTTAGTGCCAGACAGACAGAGTGTGACAAAACTGTTCTACAGTTGTTCCTGTTGTTATCAGGAGAGCAAGTTGCTCCTTCCCACTGAAGGCTGCCAGAAGATGTTTCTGGGTTAATGAGTAAGATTTAAGACTTGTTCAGATCTTTCTTTTGTCTAAAAGAAAGAGGCATGCCATCCCTTTATGTAACTGTGATTTGTAGGTTTATGCTCTGACAAGACCACTCAGTGATGGATGCCAGTACAAGGATTTTATGTAGCCAATGGGACAGCCATGCAAAGACATCAAGTAGCACACAAATAGTAACTATACCTTTGAGTATAATCTTGGAACAGGGCAGATTATTTTCAGTCTTTTGCCCAGGAATATCTGAAGACTGCTAGGGAATGTAGCATATATTTCTGTATACAGCTGCATTACCACTTCATTGTTTACCTGTGATTTAGAGATGCACTCATCCCAGCCCTTTAAAATTGCACTAAGCAGCCACAGCTACAAGATCTCTTTTAAAACCCAACTCAAATGTTGCAGATTTTGGCTAGGTACTAGTGCCGGGCACTTCTCTACTTTGATGCTCATGTAATCCTTTTATTTTATTTTGGGATTGAGTCCCCGCCAAGTGCCATAATTTCTGAACCAGAAGAAAAGATATCTTCAGGTTAAAATGTCACTGTGCCCATCAATCACACTTCAATGAATAGCTGTAGTTCACAAGTCATTCAGCAGTGCAATGAATAATTCCAGTCTAGAACTTTTCTGCAAGTTCCTTACATTATTATGTCTGAGACTAACCAAGCCTGGAGGTATGAATTTCTACTCTTTTTGGAAGGCTTTATTTCATGAATATACAGGAATGAAATTCAGGAATACAAGAATTGGATAATAAAATGGTGGATCTGGTGTCAGAGCCACGGCATACAATCAACTTGTATTGATAACACTGGGAGCTTCATTTTGGCAGCCACATATTCTTGTCCAGTGTGATACAGCAGCATATCTGGGCTGACAGTAAAATGTGTAGCGTACAAAACTAGGGAGGACTTTTTAATAGCTGACAGAACCCATAGGTGCCAAAAAAGGGCTACTTTATTTTGTATGCAGTTAGGCAATTATCTCCTAAAGGATGGAAAGCATTTGGGTTCAGTGGATATAGAGTATACAGGTACAGAGCACAGTAGTGCTGTCATCCATGACTCGGATGATGCTTCAGCATTGTCTTCAGTATTGCCTTGAGCTCTGCCTTCAGAGACATTACCTTTCTTTTTTATTATCTCAAACCTGAGTGCATTCCCCTTCACTTTTCTTCTCCTTCTCTCTAAAACTATTATGATATAAATGTGGGTTTCATAGTATAAACAGTTACAGGATTTTACAACTGTAATTTGGGCAGTTCATAGAAATAATGCTGTTTGTTAGAATCTTTCACAGCAGACTTCTTATATTGCAAATTTTGATGTAGATGTTTGAATTAAACAGACGTTAACAAATGAAAAGACAAAAGTAAAACCAGCCTGAGTAAAATTTTTGTTTTCTTGCAGCTTATATGGAATCATTTTTTTTTATAATTACGCTGTTAATGCCCACCAGCTTTTACCACTAAACACAAAAAAACCCAGAAGATCCAGGTCTGACTGCTTATACAGTAGACATAAGTGCAATTCCCACTTACATACCTATATCACTATTGTTTTAAAAGATTTTCCTGTTCACATTTCTTTATGATATAAGAGAATAAAACCCCTATAACTAAATATTCTTACCATTTTCAGTTCATGTTTAAGGTTAACATTTAGTCCTCTGAGGAAAAAATATGCTTCATAAACATGTTCATTATCCTCATTTGCCCACACCAATCAAGTTTAATTGCTCAGTTAAATTGCCTGGTTACCTCAATTTGGAGACATTCAGCTGTTTCTATCATTTATCCTCACACCAATACTCAACTTTCTCTAATAATAAATGGCTGCTCTTCCATGCCTCTTGGCTAATTGTTCAATTACAAGGGTGTGAGCAGTTCTGGCATTTGAAAGACGTGTGAAAGGGCACTTGTGAACAGCCCAGGGACACAGAATCAATGACATTTATACATTATGTGTCATTTCTATGCTTTGTAAGTGTATTAAAGTACCAATAGGCAGAAGAACAACGTTTAAAAATAACATCCACATTTTTTTCTCTCTCAATGACTCCAGTTCAAACTTTCTTCGTTTTCTGGCCCAACTAGACCATTTTTTTAACTGTCTCTCAGCAAACTTGTCCTGCAGGTATATTCACTCCCACATCAGTCCCTCTGAAGCCAACAGCTTCTACTCAAATTCTGCAGTGGAGAGAATGTGGGACTTGGGGCTGAGCAGGTTTAATGTCAAAATTCACAGTGAAAATGACAAGAGATCCCCCATTACCCCAACCCCCCTGAGTAGACTGTGAAACAGGACAGTGTGTGGAAGATTGCTGCTGTCTTTTGGGCTTTTTTTGTTGGTTTTTCTTCCTTGACTCCATATTTCTTACCTGTTAGTTTTGGGATTTTTTTTTCCTTCACTGTCTCATTTTCTGTTTTTATTTGCGCTCTGTTTAGGTAACCTTTTTCTCCTGACTCCTATCCTCTGCCCCCATTTGACATCCCTTTCCTCTCCTCTATCTTGATTTCTCTTTGTAAAGTTTCCTCTCCATCCATCTCTGCCTTTCTAGTTCTTCCCTCTTACTCTCTTCTGGCTTTTTTTCTTACCCTCTTATCTTTCCTCTCTACTTCTCCTCTCGGAGGACTTTCTGCCTTTGGCTTTTTGCTGTAGATTGGGCTCAATGGTACCCTTCATGAATGCTGATTATCCTGGTCAGAGCTCTATGAGTATTATACCAGCTGAGTAGCTCTTCATTTGAATCATGCCTTGCAGCCATTTAGCAGGAAAGGAGTGTTGCATCCAACTTTGACTGACAGCTGATTGGCAGGCAAGAAAAGCAGCCACCATCTCTCATGGGAATGCTCAGAAGCTTGCAAAGGGAGATAAAATGTCAAACCACTGTGATCTGCAGCTTTTGCTAAGAGGCTTGAGTGATCAAACTAGATCAGACACAATCCCATTTTAGTTTGGAAAACTAAACTGTATTGTTTCTACTTTGAATGTCATCATCAATAGCATAATTTCTGCATTCTGCAAGACAGGCTCCTACAGACTATGGCACCTTGGGCAGTGTAGACTCTCTCTAGACTTACCACACGTGCATTAGCTCTACAATTCACATAAAGGTTGTTACCTACATGGGGATATGCTGATCAGGGAGGTGGATATTCTAAGAGATAAGCTGTGATATTTTTTAATTATTATTATTTTTTACAGACCCTTTTCTAACTGTCGGTATGCTTTGAGTTTAGAAATTTTCAGCTGCCTGTTGCTTCTTAGTGTATAAGCAGTGTGCTTCAACTCTTTCTAACAGCATGGCTTGTGGTATAATGGTCATGTCACAGAGTCCTCAGTGGCACCACAGAACCTCATCAGAAAATGGCTGCAGCATTGTTGTATGCAATGGGGAATAAAAAGGGAAATGGTTGCCTTTTGCTGGGTAGAGACAATCTTTCACCAAAATACGGGTACTGTGAATCCCAAATATTTTGGACAAAAATATCTTCTGGTTTAAATAGTTTGACTCTAGTAAAATTAATGAGCATGAAGGAGGACACAGATTACATTTGAAAGCTAAAAGTCTGGACTAGACAACCCTATAATTAAGCTGCATTATTTCCAGACAAAAATTAAAAGGGAAATCTTTAATGTAATTGTGCGTGATTGGCCATGGGACTTGCTGGTCAAATGAGGAACTTCCTGTTGTTGATTACTGTTTGAAGCTGAAGTGTAGTAACTTTTCCACTGAATTACTCCTCACAGAAGCTGCGCAGAAGGGAAGGTGAACTGAAAGTTGTAGCAGGCACTGTTCTTAGCTATTTGCTATTACTGGCTTTCTAGTGCTTCTCAAATTGAAACATAGATATGTACAAAAGAATCTTACCTTGCCAACATACTGGTAGTCAGTTCCTGTGTATTCCTCCAATAGAAAGAACTGATTCCACATCCAGCTCCTTTTGGAACGATGGAGGTCTCGCCTGCTGTTTCCAGACAATACCAAAACCTTTTCCTTTTCTGGAAAGCCACTAGTCCTTTTGGATAATGGAGTTAAGAAACTTTGGTGGGGCTGACCAGCCCAAAACAGCAGCCAGAAGCAATGGTAAGTTCTCATCACGGCAACACAAGAAGGTCTAAATAATGACTTTTTTTCTTGTCCTCAAACTAACCTACTTTACTGCACTGAATCCCAATCTCATGCCGTCTTCCTTCTTTAAATAGTCTTTGCAGTCTCAAAGGATCTCTGAAAAGAAAAATAACAGCTTTTTAAGCATTTTCAAAGATACTTAACATTCATCACTACAGCAAATAAGTCCAAAACATAGAAAAGTACTAGTGATTGTTGAAAAGCTGGGCTGTTTCTGATTGTTGAAAAGCTGGGTTCAAAACGTTGCAAGTGGTCCTTCAAATAATCTGAGTGAATCTATACTGAGTAGGAGGAAGGAGTCCTGGTGTCTGGGTTTGTGGGCTCCCCCCACCCCTTTAACTCCATTTACTTCCATTCAGTGACTATGGCAAACCAGGCTTTTCCCTTTTTACTGGCCGGACTTTGGGATATAACTGATTAGTTTTTGACCAGGGATCTTGATGAGGTTACCTTATTACATTGAAGAAGGGCTAGCATGTGTGCACACTGTCTTCCCAGGAGTCATTCTGTTGCTATAGTTATGGGCTGAAGAGCCTGGATTTAGATAACTCCAGGATTTTTCCCTCACATTTAAGGAGATTTGCCTTTGACTTCATTTAGGAAGGGTCAGGTAAAGATGTCAGTGAAATAAATGTGCATATTTGTCAATATCTCCCACACACTAGACCTGTTTGATACTGTGTAGGAAGTTAAGTGGACAATTTGGTTTCATCAGTTATGTACTGCCAGAGTTTTGTACTGAGTTTTTGATCTTTAAATATATAGTTAAATACATAAATGCTTTCATTAATAAATTCCAAAAATAAATTTAAAAAAAAAATCAGCTAGTTCTTCCTCCTGTGGTTTTGTACTAGCTACTCCTTCCTACTATTATTAATACTAAATATCTGTGCAACTTCGTCCCTATCTCTGAAGATTATATGATTTTCATCATGAAAAAAGCTGTATATAGAGTACCACAGTATAGTGTGGACAGTTCTGTTTTTAAAAAAGTTGAAAGCTTCTATTCGGGAAGAAGAAATGATACTATGTGTAACCAGTCATGCAAAATGCCTAATGAACAGCTTTGGAACATTTTATAAAATGAAGAAATCAGAATTAGTTGACAGAAACATTCCACAACATATATTTTTCATAAACATTTTGTTAAATTTTTAGTGCAAACAGATCCATACTCTTAGAGAAGGATCATTTGATTAATTTTCATTTGGTTTTGCACAGATGCTCTTCGGAAAAAATATATTTTTCAATATCCTGATCAAAAACCCATAAATCATTCTGAACCAGCTCAAAATTCAACACAGCAGCTCTCAATATTTGTAAATAAAGATTGTGTAATGACAGTTTGACAATACCAAATTGAAAAGAGATTTTTTTTGTTTGTTTTATTTTGTAAGCACTTCACACAACGTTACTTGAATCACATTCTATATCAAGGGCTATTTTTTCCCTATATTATCTGTGTTTTTTATTTTAAAGGTGTAAATCAGGTAGAATTTAGCCTTTGAGCTACATTGATGGAGTTAAAGCATTTACAACGCCTCGGGTTAGCCTCTCTTCTGGTTTTCATTGCTCTTAGTAATAAATTTTATAAAATAACCTCAAGTCTCTTACAGTTCCTCTTAGTAAATCATTTTCTATAAAGAAATACCACTTAGCTTTTAGATGGATAGTAGGTAATGGAAGAGGGCTGTTCAAACAATATTGTTTTACTGCTTCACAAGGTAAAATACCATAAAAAGGTAACTTCTGGGTGAGAAGGACTCAGTTTTTTCGCATTCAGAGGAAGAATGGAAAAGGTACAATTAATTCTGAAGCACTGTAGTTTCCTCTGGAGAAGAGGGAAGGATTCTAATTAGTTCTCATTAATGCCAGCGAACTTTCTGTAGGCAAAAACAACTCTGTCCTGCAGGTCGTGGGAACTGTGTCCCCTGAAGGCTTTGAATGTTGCGAGATAGACAGACACACAGGTGTATACATACTTACATACATGTAAACATGCACACACACAGAGATGTAATAGCAAGAACAGACCTGCTGCTCACCACAAGAGGACCTTCACAGAGGAGGAACAGAAAAAGCTTTAGGATGTGTCCTGCAATTGCCTTCAGTGCGACTCATGGGGCGCCGGAAAATAAATGTGCAGGTCACTAGAGGGGTACATGGGCAGATTCAGACACCAGGCTAGGAAGAGCTGAGGTGACTAACTCTCTCCCTACTGCACAGGGTCTTGTCCTTCATGGCTCTGCCAACACCCTCTCCTCTAACCCCCAGCTCCGAGAGGAGTCTGTTCTGGTGGGCACCTTCCCTGACATGATACAAAAGAGGCGATCATGCCTCACACAATATTTTTGACTTCTACTTCCTTGCCAGGCTGCTTTGCGGGGAGGCTGGGGCCTGCCCAGGTGAGTAATTAGTGCCCCAGGCCGCGGCAGCCCTGGCGAACTGCCATGTAACAGCACGTCGGGCCCGTCATGATCAGTGCTCGGAGTGCAGATGCGAAAAGACGGATGAGGCGGGTAGCTCTGGCTGCGCGCGTGTGGCTCGCCTTGCCGGGAAGGCAGGGCCTGGGGTAAGGAGCACAGCATGTGAGCAAACCTATTATTTTGCTATTAGTAAAGTCTTCACGGATTGCTGAGGCGCGAGGGAGTGAAAAGCATCACTCGACAGGCTCCCCCAGCTCTCGTCTCGTTACCCCTATGGCCAAATCCCACAGTGGGGCTCCATACCTCTGCTCCTGCCTGTAATGTTTCCTGAGCAGTGCCGCCTGGAGCAGCATTACCTGACAGGATTTGTGCCAGCCTTTTAAAGGATCAGTCCTTCAAATGCCAATTGCCAGGAAACAATTATTCCTGCAGGGGAATTTTCTGCACTTGAAGTCAGCTATATTTCACAGCTCTGATGTCATGGGAGAGGTTTTATAGTGGCTCACGCTGAAATATAGCTCACCAGAATGATATCATAGCTGTGAAATACAGCCTTTTCTCTGCAGAGATGTGTCCTAAATGCTGAAATAAGGGCATGATCCTGTAATGTCCTTCTTGACTGGGAAGTCTTCAGGAAGCAGCAGAGCACCTAAGCCCCAGCAGCTTCCCTGTGAGTGGCAAGAGAGGAGAACCACCTTCACAGACCTCGGCTTAAGCATGCAGTTGCGGTAAGTACCAACTGAAGTCCATGGTGTCTTTGGCCTATAGGTGCTGATAAGTGTTTTACGGGTCATAGTGATAAATTCAGTTGAGTGAACAAAAAGGGTAGGAGCACTATACTCTGAGCTAAGCCTTTAGCAAAAAGTGAGCTCCTGTGGCTCTTCAATGCCCTTTTGTGTTTCAGTCTCGATGTCTCATTTTCCAGAGAGGTCTCTGCAATGTAATGGTTTTTCTCCTGCAATCTCGTTTCTTTATTTTGAAAACACGTAATTCACTAGGGATATTTTATTTTCTTTAAGTGGAGATGTGCAAATATAACTGATGGGACCTTGGGACAGGGGCTAGAATTTCTTTGTTTTCCTCACATTGCACAAAGACAGGCAATAAGACAAAAGGGGCCTGTTAAATATGGCATTTCTCTCAACCATCAGCTGGTCAGGTGGTTGGGGAACTCGCTGTGTTAATCAACTGTCAAGAGTGAAAAATGATTTTACTGTACAACAGCCTCAGACAACTGGCTTAGCTCTGTCAGCTCAAATATATAGCAAATCTGGGCATTTTACGGGAGAAGAAGGAATCTGCATACCCAAGCTTAAAAAAAATCCCAGTCTAACTTTAGATATGATGATTGTTAACATAAAAGCAATGTCACTTGCAGTCACAGAACTGTCTTCAGTGTGACAAGTCGCAGATTTAAAGTATGTTCACACCTCTTTGAAGGATCAAAACCTCAGACAATTGCTTAATCACTATAAATATCAACTTCAAAATTATTTCCCCTAGGTGATGATATTCATAGTCAACCTTTCTATTTACCCTCTCCTCCAGTATCTCGTTAATGTAGGTAATGTCTTAATGCCACCAATGTGAGAATTCAGCGCAAATTTACACTTTTCCAGAGAGATATTTAATTATTTCAACTAGAAATCAAAGAGGAAATGCATCCATTGGAGTCACTCCTATAAATCAGGGAGCTCTGCCCTGGAGATGCCTTTCTGGCATAGGGACAGGCATCAGGTGCAGATTCTTGACATGAGGAACCTCAAAGAGGTTCCATCTCTGCTCCCACTCAGCACTGTGGGTTGTGCTGCTCTTCCCAGTTGGTGGTTAAATAAACCAGACTAGCAAAAAGCCTTCCCATGAGATGCATCAGCAAGGAGAGGGAAAACATTTTTTTCATTCCTTTCTCTTCAGCCCCATAGTATTCTCCCCTCAAAAGACTCTCAAAGAAATACGCTTAAAGTGTCCTTGACTTTGGACTTGAGCATAATTTCTTTTCAGATCCCATGCATTCAGTTATGTTTATATATGTATTTATACATCTTGGACATTATGGGCTGCTGATTATTAGATTTTAAATAGCCTCGAAATATGCCAACAAATATCAGTGTCTCTAAAGTTTCTGACATAACCCTTATTCAAATAGAAGTGCCAGTATAATAGATCTTTTTATTCCCTAGTCATCTAGGTACAGTTTCATTGTTTGAGGGCTGGGTACAAAGCTTCACGCGTTAGGATTAAGGTCCATTAGTACACTGGAATAAATATTAATTCTATTTTCAAGAATTGATAATGCACTGTTATTCTCACACTGAGAATGAATGAGGATGTGAAAGTTAATAGATGATGTGGCATAGTAATTTAGGAAAGTGAGCATGGGAAATGATCCTGATATACCCTGTGTGAGCATAATAAGGATCTGAAAATTCAGCTAACAGGAATAGTTAGGTTTAGGTTTTGGGTTTTTGTTTGTTTGTTTTTTTTGGTTTTTTTTTTCCATTTATGTGACACAATGAACTGCATCCATCCTCATGGAGATTGCTTAGGTTCTTAGGGAAAAATGCACAAAGGCAGAGAATAGACCCTGCTTTTTCATTCTAGCAGATTACACTATGAACACACCAGTGTATGTGCCTTTACTGCCCCCAAATCAGGTCTGATTTATGGTAG